TAAATTAAAGTCTTATATATGTCACAAATGTATTATCAAGTTAACAAGATCTTCTAACTTCAAAATATATTATTTTAAAGTGTTCTGAGTTTTTTTGTTTAAAACAAAACCCGAAAATAAATGTGAAAATATGTGAATATATAAAATGTAGTTGTTTTCTTCACATATTCATATCACATCAAAATAATTTAACGTGGAATACACATGCAAAGCACATCTGGTTAGATGACAAGAAAAATACAAAGCAAATATTGTCTATGAGGTAATATTAGTGAAATAAGACTAATTACGTGATTGAACCTCATCAATTGAAATAAATATATACATTATTGCATTTAACAAATAAATTTTTTCATTAACCATCTTCATAAGTTTGCGTGAATAAGATATATATCTTTGATGATCCACATTGAACATTCAAAAAAGAATCTGCAATATTATTTTTTGCTAAGCTTATTATTCAAATTATTTACGCTTAAATAAGCAATACTATTTACTATAACATATATTTTTGGAACTGATAATCACGTGCAACACACGTGTCAAAAAACTAGTTACCTTAAAAGCATGAATTCCTAACTTGAATGTTAAATTACTATAATATCCCTAACTTAGCTTGTGACTTTTTCGATGTGTTGTGACTTTTTCAATAAGTTGTGACTTTTTTTGAAGGGTTGTGATATGACATCTAAATAATTTAACGTGGAATACACATGCAAAGCACATCTGGTTAGATGATGAGAAAAATACAAAGCGAATATTGTCTATAAGGTAATATTAGTGAGATAAGACTAATTACATAATTGAACCTCATCAAATTGAAATAAATATATACATTATTGCATTTAACTAATAAAATATTTCATTGACCATCTTCATAGGTTTCGTGAATAAGAGATATATATGACTATCCACGTTGAACATTCATAAAAGAATCTACAATATTATTTTTTGCTAAGCTTATTATTCAAATTTTCGTTTAAATAAGCAATACTATTTACTATAATATATATTTTTGGAATTGGTAATCACGTGCAACACACGTGTGAAAAAAACTAGTATATATCAATACCTTATTTGTTACTACATTTGTCATTTAGCCTTCAATTCACATTTTTGTCTTAGTTCTTTTATATTGTTGCACTTGTATAGTTCTTTTCATGTTAATTACCATTGTTTCTATTGTATGATAATTTTGTAAAGTTACATTATTGTCTTACCGTGTCAAATTATTGGAGAACTCATATAATTATTTTATGAGAATTTTCTTATTATTTAAACTGAAAACTGAACCGTTAAGATTCATAATCGATACACCAAAAACTAATAAAATATATCTTATTGGTTTAGCATACTTAAAACCCGAAAATCGATTAACCGGATTGATAACATATAAATCGAACTGAATCGATTAATGCACAACCCTATTAATCTGATTCGTTCAGATCTATGAGAGTCTTATTTCTATTCAGGCTATTATTAAAGCACTAAGTTATTCCCTCGTAAAGTTCAAACATCGTTATTTTTTTCTCTCTATATATGTTTTCCCCTATGTCCCTCTCTCTCCATTATCAGTGTATGTCTTCTATCTTTTAAATGTGTGTTGAATTTTATTCCTCTTGAACAGTGATAAGAATTCCAGTTGGGGATGAAACCAATTAAAATTAAATGCGAAATTAAATAACACAAAAGTAAGATAGATGAGAAGGGAAGAAAGAAAGAAAGATTAATTGAACAAACAATCAACCAAGGAAGAAGAGACACTTCAATTTAATAGAAAAGAGAAACTTACTTGAAATCCACAAATAAGTGACTCAATATGAAATCAAGAACAATGAGTCTTCAATCAACAATGATAATCACTTATCAAACTAACCTACACTAAGCTAGACTAAACAAAATGGATTTCACCCTTAAAGTACATTCTTGAAAGAGTTTCTTCATTCAACATTCAAAATCTTTATAATGACCATCTCCAACCCACCTCTATTTTACTCTTCATTCTCTATATTTTGAGAGTAAAATAGAGAATGGGCAATCCAACCCACCTCCAAATCACTCTCTATTCTTCAAATTTAGAGAGTTGAATAGTAGTTCTCCAAATTTGGAGAACTACTATTCACACTCTCTATTTCACTTTTTCAATAGTTTATTATTATTTCTATTACTTTCTAATTAACATATTATTTTACATATAATTTCATTAATTAAATATCTAATATTCATAATTCTTTTTAAATGTAATATAATATTTTATAAAATATTATTTAATATATACTACTTTAATTTCAAATTAATAGTATTTTATTTTTTTTTCTAATTTTCGTCAATAATAAAAATTTATTTTATTATTAATTTTCATTATAAAGAATACATAAAATTAAAATGGTAACATAAAAAATTTAATTTAAAAATACAATACATGATATGATAATTTAAATACAAGATAATTATACAACACATAACATAATAATTTAAATACAAGATAACAATACAATACATAACATAATAATTTAAATACAAGATAAAATACAATACATAACATAATAATTAATTTATCACAATAATAATTTAGTAATCCGGTAGGTCGTTTCTAGATTTAGCACTATTCGAAACAAAATTAGGATATGATTCTGAGAATTGTTGCGATTGTGATTGTGATTGCGGTTGTGACTGCGATTGTGATTGTCGATTTCTTTTTTCAAGTATTCGTTGTTGTTCTCGATGCAGGTAATCACGAACATTTGGATCACTAATAGTTTCTAAATTTATCATTAAAATTTTATTTTCTTCTCTAAATTCCTTGACTTTGATATATCTATCTAGCCTTTCGCCGTCCTGTTCTCTGGATGTAGCAGACTGATAACATCTTCCCAAGTAATTATTTGGGAAAAAATAAATAAAGGATTTATATTATGAAATAAGAATGAAATAGAAATAATAATATAATATTGAGGAGAGAGAAAAAGATTCATTTTAGAGAGTAAAATAGAGAATTGGGTTGGAATTGGTTGTTTGAAAAAATAGAGAACTCTATATTTGGAGAGTAAAATAGAGAATAAGGTTGGAGATGCCCGTCTTCCTTTTTTTTTAAGGGATAATTGTACATAATAACAAACTATTAATTCAAATTAAATGCTATAAATATACTTTGATTTAATTGTACCCTATAGCAAACTATTGCTATTTTCGCCACTCTCCCTGGTGGAATCTCGCTCGCCACTCTCGTTTGGTGGCAGTCTCGCTCGCCTCTCTCGCTTTTATACAAACACAAATGTATAAAATGCGTTTGTGTTTGTATAAATCGAGAGGAAATTGTATATATACATATATTTTCGTTCCCCCTCTCTCCCCCTCTCCCCAGATCTCGCTCGCCACTCTCCCAAATCTCGCTCGCCACCCTCGCCTCTCTCGCTTATACAAAACAGAAACGAAATGTATAAAATTGCGCTTCTGTTTGTATAAAGCGAGAGAAAATTGTATATACACATGCAAATACATATATCTTCATCCTATACACTTATAATTATACAATACAAATATTTTCCTGCCCAGTTTTCTTTTGCCTTTCTCTCTTTCTCGTTTTATACATACACAGATTATACAATTGATCTTTTGTATACAACTGCTTCCTTTTGTATATGTATAGCGAATTATACAATTGTTTTCTTTGTATATGTATAGTGAATACAACTGTTGTTTTTGTATATGTATAGCGAATTATACATATATATGTTTGCTATGGAGCGCAATTATGCAAACTTTGCTATAACATATAAATATGAATTTTGTGTTTGCTATATGTGAAAGTTGCTCTTTTTTTAATGGAAAAAATTATAGAAATCCCACATTTTAGTTTACTTATTACCATTATCCCTTATAAGTTTTACAAATCTCCAAAATCTCTCATTTTCGCGCATCAGATTAGTGTATCAGCGCTTATATTATTGTATCTCGCGCAACAGGGTAATGTATCAGCTCTTATATTATTGTATCTCGCGCTTCAGATTAATGTATCAGAGCTATATAAGTGCTGATACATGCACAAGATACAATAATATAAGCGCTGATACATTAATCTGATGCGCGAGATACAATAATATAAGCGCTGATACATTAATCTGATGCGCGAGATACAATAATATAAGCGCTGATACATTAATCTGATGCGCGAGATACAATAATATAAGCGCTGATACATTAATCTGATGCGCGAGATACAATAATATAAGCGCTGATACATTAATCTGATGCGCGAGATACAATAATATAAGCGCTGATACATTAATCTGATGCGCGAGATACAATAATATAAGCGCTGATACATTAATCTGATGCGCGAGATACAATAATATAAGCGCTGATACATTAATCTGATGCGCGAGATACAATAATATAAGCGATGATACACTAATCTGATGCGCGAGATACAATAATATAAGCGATGATACACTAATCTGATGCGCGAGATACAATAATATAAGCGATGATACACTAATCTGATGCGCGAGATACAATAATATAAGCGATGATACACTAATCTGATGCGCGAGATACAATAATATAAGCGATGATACACTAATCTGATGCGCGAGATACAATAATATAAGCGATGATACACTAATCTGATGCGCGAGATACAATAATATAAGCGCTGATACACTAATCTGATGCGCGAAAATGAGGAATTTCTGTAATTATAAACTTTTAAGAGATAAATTATAATTTTACCTTAAAAGTATGTGATTTCTGTAATTTGCCCTTTTTTAATTAAGCTATTGGCCATGGGCCGTTTTATAGATAAGTGAAAAAGGGAACAAAGTTTTGCCCAACCCAATAGTGGTGGGCCCAAAAGCTAAGAAAAAGACAAACAAAAGCTAAAATAAAATAAAAACAAAGCCAAAAAATTATATCCTAAAAAGCGTCAATCTTTCTAGAAGAAGTCCTTTATTTCCTCTTGTTGGAAGCTCCCATGAAATTAGGAAAGTGACGTCTCATTCAAAGCATGATCTTGAGCTTTTGCGGGTTTAACTGGTAAGTTTACCTCTTTTCGTTTCCTTTCAATTCCTCAATCTGCATTTCTCAATTGTTTTCTTTTTAGTTTGTCGATTTTCCATGTAGTCCCTTGTTGTTGTATGGTTTCATCAATGCCAGAGTTATCTTCTTTGAATATTGTCTCCAGAACCCTGGTTTTTCGCCTTACACTTATCTTATTTTAGATCTGTAACCTATGTTAGTAGCATAGTTGTTGTGCTCTGGCTTTGTTTTCCGTGAGTAGCGTAGTTGTTGTGCTCTGGCTTCGTTTTCCATGCATGTTAACTCTTTACTGTCTTCTAGCAATTTATCTACTCGTGATCATCAATTATTTGTGTGTTGTTCACCTGATTGCCTTGTTCTTGATTCTTAAATTTGGTACCGAGTGTTTGTCCAAGTTGGGTATTTTCCTCCCATGCAATGGTAGCTCGCAGTATGTATTAAATTGTGTTCTCTCTGTCATTTCGAATGTATAATTAGCTAAGTAGTCGGCTAATGTATTCCCTTCCCTATAAATGTGTTCAATGTTAACAGTAGAATATTGCATCAGTGTTAGAGTGTCTTCCATTATAATTCTAATGTTCCATGGTATCTCCCAATTTCCTTTTAGTATGTTTTTCAATATCAATGAATCGGTCTCTATTGTTACTCTCGGAAATCCCCCTGTTGTACAGTGATATATTGCTTCCTTTATTGCCACTGTTTCTGCTTCCACGTTAGTTGTTTCTGGTATCTCATCTGCTTGTGCAAAGATTAAATTTCCTTCCCGATCTCTTTGGCAATAAGCATAAGAACTCTTGCCTTTATAGTATTTGAATTTGGGGCATCCATATGATCTTTTAGTAGGATATCCTTGGCTTGTAGTTCTCTAAGAATTTTACCATATCTGACCAGTTGGTGGGAAATTGTTTCAGACTTGGAAAACTTGACCTTGCAAATTGCCATACATTGAGGGTAACCTGATAGACAAGTTTATTATATATATGTCATTTTCCCCCATGTCTGATGATATTTCTTCTTCTTCATATTTTCCAACGTATAATTGCAGGCATAATCTTCATAATTTGTTGCAAGTTTGTGACCTGCATGTGTTGTCCACCATGTTATTAGCACTTGGTTTAGGTTTTGTCCTTCTAATCTTAGACCTGCAAAATGATCAAACATCCTCCATAGCTTATAAGCTATTGGAGAAGTTAAAAAAAGATGTTCCACCGTTTCTTGTGTTGGATTATCACAGTACCAACACCTTGATGACATGTTCACCCCATTCTCATCAATATATCATCAGTGGGTATTCTATATTTCCATACTCTCCAAATAAAGAAAAATATTTTGAATGGAAGTCTCTTTTCCCACATATTAAGAAATCTACTTTGCCTCACTGTCCTCTGTCTCACATACTCCCAGGCACTTTTAACTGTGAATTTTCTACTTTCTTCAAGCATCCACCATGTTCTGTCCAGTATACCATCAGAAGTTGGACTTGGGATTGTTTTCAGTATGTGTTGTACAATATCTTCTGATAGCCATCTTTTTAGTTTGTCTACTTTCCAGCCCTGTTGATCTGCAAATTCCTTAACGTCTATCTCTTCCTCTTGACTGGTTTCATAACTGAAGTAATATAGCTCTCCTTGAGTTGTCCAGTTATCAAACCAAAAACTTGAGTCTCCTCCTTTAATTTGCCACCATATTTGATGTTCTACCAACTCTCTAATCTTGATCATTGTTCTCCATGTGGTGGAGGCTCCCTTACTCTGAGCAATTACAGGATGTAACTTTTTACAGTATTTATTACCCATGTAAGAGCTCCAAAGTGTAGTCTTTGTTCTGTAAATCCACCATAATCTGTAAAATAGAGCTTTAGATATATCAGCAAGAGATCTAAAACTAATTCATCCTTCCTCCTTAGGTAGACATAATTTATCCCAACTTATCCAGTGCTTCCTTTTACTGTCTATAGTGTTTTACAAGAAAAATCTATTGAGCATCATATGTATGTGTCTTATCACCCCTTTTGGAGGATATAAAGCAGACAATAAATGTGTAGGAATACTATGCAACACATGTGAAATTATAACAACTCTTCCACCAAATGATAACATTTTTCCTTGCCATCCCTATATTTTTTTTCCTACCTTTTTAATCACTGAATCATAGTGGGAAATATTATTTCTTCCATATAACATAGGACATCCCCAGTATGTGAAAGGGAAAGCTCCATGTTTTATGTTGTTTAGTCTTTTGATGCTCCCTATCAGTCTTGTATTCACCTTTTCATGTCATAAAATGCATTCTTCTCCAAATTAATTAGCTTTCCTGAAGAGTTTTCATATCTTCTTAGTACCCTAATCATCATCTTCATTGATTTCTTGTCAAATAAAATTGTATTATCTGCATAAGAAAGATGGTTAATATTTGGGCTCCATTTGGGTAGACCATATCCTTTGAATTCTTCATTTTCCCACAGAGCATTCAAACTCCTCGTTAGTACTTAAATTATAAAAAGAGCCGGTGATAATGGATCTCCCTGCTTGACTCCTCTAGATGACTTGAAAAATTCAAGAGCCTGCCCATTTATCAGAATTGAGTACCAGTTATTGGACAGAAGTCTTTATACCATGTTAATTAAAACTTCAGAGAACCCAAATTGTCTCAGAACTTTAGTGAGGAATAGCCATGATAGCCTATCATATGCCTTGGTCATATCTAGTACTTTCACATTCGTTGTTTTTGTCCTCATCCTGATATCCCTTATAATCTCCTGTACCAAAAGAATATTTTCCACTATATTTCTTCCTTTAACAAAACTTGTATGGTTTCCAGAGATGATAGTAGGCAGAATGTTCTTTAATATTTCATGTATAACTCTATAAATTGTGTTATTACTGAATTTACTCAGGCTAATTGGTCTTACATCTGCATAGGTATGCATCTGGTCTTTTTTGGTATTAAGACCAAATTTGTGTGAGTAATATATCTGGAGAATCTCTTGGCCTACAAAGAAGGCCCTTACCATTCTAATTATGTCTTCCTTTATGATGTTCCAGCATGTCTGATAGAAAATACCTGTAAATCCATCTGGACCACATGCACTTTCTTTATTTAACCCAAATATTGTTGCTTTAACCTCTTCTTCTGTTGGCAATTCCTCCAGCTTTTGATTGACTCCTCTGTTACCAAACTAGGAATATGATTTAATAAAGAGAATTCTTTTTGACATTGATCCTCTGTAAATTTCTCCTGGAAGTATCTTATGGCTTCAACAGCTATGTCTCTTTCCTCTGTTAGCCAATCTCCTTGAGTATTCTGTATTCTATTTAGCTTCAACTTCTTCCTTTTTTCCGTTACATATGAATGAAAGAATTTGGTATTCTTTTCTCTCTCTTGAAACCATTTCAGACCTGATTTCTGTCTCCAGTACTCTTCTTCAAGATGTAAGTATCTGCATAATTCTGCTTGATCTTTATGTAACTCTTCTCTGTTATGTAAGGTTGGAGATTCTTCAAATGTGACTTCATGAGCCTGTATTACATCCTCTAGTGTTGCAATTTGCTGAAACACATTACCATTTGTTTTCTTACTCCAAGATCTGAGAGCATGTTTCACCCTCTTCAATTTCTGTTGTACCATTTAAAAGGGTTACCATATAAATCAAGTCTACAGTGTTCCTCTACTAGCTTTTCAAAAGAGGAATGTATAGCCCAAAATTTTAAGAACTTGAATGGTTTGATAATTTCCTCAGTATTCTGTGAACATTCTGACACTAATGGAGAGTGATCTAACCTTTTTTTTTATAAGATGCTTGACCTTCATAGTTTGAAACAAGTTTATTAATCTTTGATTTCCTAAAATTCTATCTAACCTTTTGAAGATGCATGCATCCTCCGATCTTCCACTCCACCATTTGTAAGTGCTTCCAGTGTATCCTAGGTCTAGTAGCAATACAATTGGCAAAATCTTCAGTTTCCTGATAATAGACCGGCAACCCACCTAATTTTTCTTCAAGAGAAAGTATTACATTGAAATCACCTCCTACCAACCATGGTAAGGAAAAGTGACTTGATATCTGTTGTATCGAGTTCCATAGCTCTTCCCTGTTAATTGCATTACAAGATACATACACTATAGTGACCAATGCCTCAACTCCCATATTTTGATGTACTACTTGTAATGTCATTTGTTGTATAGAATCTTCTATAACATCTACATGTACATCTTCTGTGAATATCCATATTTAACCTGAGCAATTTACCAAAGTAGTATGATGACCCAATCTTCTTCTATATCTCTCCCAATCTGATGAATCTTGAAAAGGTTCCATCAGACCTATTAACCAATAATTGTTTCTTCTATTTAAATTAGCCAGTCTCTCAAACGCTTGTTGAGTATTGACTGACCTAATATTCCATAGAATGATCTTATTCGTCAGTTTTGAGGCAGCTTGCCTCTTTGGTAGTTGTCTTGTTTCTTGTGAGGTATCTTTTTGAGATTTTCCACCTTTGTTTTTTAGGTGACTCTCCTCCATTACCCTTGTATGTCTTCGAGAAATGTCTCCTTTAGCCATCTCTTTTATATTCTTCTCCAATGTTTCCTTCTCAGTGTTCTCACTTCTGATGTTGTTTCTGCCAAGGAAGCATCAATTTCTTCCTTGTCAGGATCTAAAATGACTTTTTCTGTTGTATCTACTGCTTCTATCCTTTCTTCATCATGTGCGTTTTGTTGCTTTCTTAATTCTAGCTGATTCTGACTTGTTGTCTGCTCTGTGTTTCCTAACTCATCCGTCTTATTTTCCCCTTGAGTTTTCTTTTCTTGAATAACTTTCTCCTTTGAACTTATTTCACATATGCTTTTCTCCTGTGTGCATGTGTTATTTGTAGGTGTTTCACTGCCTACATTGTTTACTGTTAGAACTATCTTGTGGTTGTGTTATCTGATTCACCTTTGTCCCTTTGACTTTTTTAAAATTAATATCCACCCATTGCCTTGTTCCCATTTGCTTGTTGATGTCTCTTTCTTCTTCAGATTTGTTCCTACTAAGTTCTCCTTCCCTTTCCTTGTTCTCTTCTGTCTCCTTGGTCCCCTTTGTCGCACTTGTAGCATCCCTTGTATCATCTATTTTGTCATTGTTTTGTAGAGTTGCAAAGGCATTATGAGT